TGCCTCAATTTTAAAATCCCTATCCTTGTTTCCTGATTCCTGGTGCCAAGGTGTTAAAGTCTGGAATTCCTCAGGTAAACCTCTCCGCCTTTCTTTAAAATGTTCCTTAAAATCCATTCCTTTGGCCAAGCTCTTTATCACTGTCCCTAATCTCTCCTAATGTGGACTGTCAAGATTTGTTTTATAATGTCCCTGTGATGTGCTTTGGGATGCTTTATAATGTAAAAGGTGCTAATATAAATACAAGCTGCTGTTTATATTATTGCCAAAGGATGCACACAAATATGATCCCTTTGAAACACAGTTAAATAGCAGCAAACACTACCAACACTACAATAAAGTAACCAAGTGCAGTAGAAAATTCATTTAGTGCAAAATTTTACACAAGATTCAAGTTGCTTTCTAAATATTCTACAGGTAATGCTCTCTGCAAAGATTATGCTCAACAGAATTTGGTTTATTCATTTTGTTAACAATAGCAACAACAAATCTGTAGAACGATTGGTATATGGCTGTATGGCTCCATTCCCCATGGGAAACTACATAACTGGACTGTGTTATTCTCCCCATACACTATCCTGAATGACAATGAGAGTGAAGATCTCAGGAAAACAAAACCTTGATAAATATTCACCTCTTGATACAAAGAATGCTGATAAGTAAGGGAGGAAAATCCATGAAGGCTTTATATAAAATGAACAGACCAGATAATAGCACAGAAACTGGCCATTCGGTCCAACACATCTATGTTTTTTCTGCTCCACAGCCTGTTCCCATCTGACTTCACCTCCATGCAAACGAAAAAACACCTCTTGATTTGTTTCTCCCACGTACCTATCTGGCCTTTCTTTAAATAGTATTCACCTCAACAACTTTATGTGATAGCAAGTTCCATATTCTAAACATTTCCCTGATCCCGATCTCCTTATTTTGATACATGCAGCAAAAATGGATATTTCTGCTGTTTCATGGTGACAAAACCAACTGCGATGATGATGTCTGGCATTGCCACTGACACCACAGCACATCCTGTAAACCAGTGTTGAAGCTTGATGCTTTTCAATTTATTCTGAAGAAATGTGAAGTGCAAAGATTTCACCTGCAAATCCCGCTGATTTTGGTACAATACTGTAATCAAAGTAAAAAGAAAATATTAATTTGCTGTGTTCCATTTGAAGTAAAAATAGCTTGCCTCACTGAAAAGGAGAAGAGAAAACAAGAGGGGAAAGATGGTTAGGTCACTGGGCTTGAACCTCTGGGATTAGACTTCAAAACCAGGCCACATGTCTTGACTCTGCTTGCTGTAAAGTTTTCAATGATTTTAATTCTGTTCCAACTGTGTGCCCATGTGATATGGAGCTTGGTAGGCAGGGAACACCTTCAAAGTTTGTGGACAACACAAAATTTGGAATAATTCTAAACTGTGAGGATTTGCAGAGTTTCAATAGAACATTGACGTTGATGGATAAGGAGGACAGGTGGCAGATGAAGTTCAGTGCAGAGAAAATGTGAGGTGATACCTCTTGATGCATGCTACAACATGGAGATTCAATATAAAATAAAAGGCACTACTCTCAAGGGCGTGCAGGAACAGAGAAACCTGAGTTTATGTGCATAAGTCATTAAAAGTGGCAGGACAGGCAGAGAGAGAGCTGTTAATGATAATATAATACTCTAGGCCTTATTAGTAGGGCTATAGAGTACAAGAGCAGGGAGGTTATGCTGAACCAATCTAGGACAGTGGTTAGACCTCAGCTGAGTACTGTTCAGAACTTCACATTTTAGCAAGGAATGTAAATGCAATGGAGAGAGTGCAGAAGGCATTAACAAGAATGCTTCCAGGGATGAGAAACTTAGTTATGGAGATTTTTTGGATAAGTTGGAGAGGAAAAGGTGAGGGGAGATGTAATAGAATTCTAAAATACTAGAATTTCGTTACATTATTTAAGAAAAGAAATACTTGCATTGGAGGCAATCCAGAGTAGGTTCACCTGATTGATCTCAAATACGGAGAGATTTTGGAGAGATATCTCTGACTCCTCCCTTCCCATCCTCAACACCTCTGTTTTCATTTCTGGGGATAGACTGGCCACCAATATCCACTACAAACCCACCAGCTCTCACAGTTACCTGGACTATACATCCTCGCACCTTGCTCCATGTAAACACTCTGTTCCATTCTCCCAGTTCCTCCGCTTCTGTCACACTTGTTCTGATGATGCCAACTTCGACTAGGGAGCCTCCCAAATGTCCACCTTCTTTCTCAACCGAGGACTCCCCAACACCGTGGTTGACCCTGGCCCTTAGGCAGGTCCAACCCATCTCCCGCCCTGCAGCCCTCACCCCCTCTCTATCCTCCCGCAACAGCAATAGGGTTCCCCTTGCCCTCACCTACCATCCCACCAGCGTCCACACCCACAGCATAATTAGCCGCCAGTTCCGCAACCTCCAGCAGGATGCTAGCACCAGACATATATTCCCCTCCCCTCCCCTCCCTTGTCAGCCTTCCATAGGCACTGCTCCCTCCAGGACACCCTGGTCCACTCTTCCTTCACTCCCAACACCCCCCACAGCCTCACACACAACTTGCCCTGCAACCACAGAAGGATAACACCTGCCTGTTTACTTCTTCCCTCCCTGTATCCAAGGGCCCAAACACACCTTCGAGGTGAAGCAGTGCTTTACCTGCACTTCACACAATCTAGTCTACTACATTCGCTGCTCACAATGTGATCTTCTTTACATTGGCGAAACGAAGCGCATACTGGGTGACCACTTTGCAGAACAGTTTTGTCCTTTCACAAAAATGACCCTGAACTTCCAGTTGCCTGCCACTTTAACACACCACCCTGTTCCCTGACCAACATCTCTGTCTCTGGCTTGCTGCAGTGCTCCAGCAAAGCTCAGCACAAACTTTAAGAACAGCACCTCATTTTCCACTTAGAGACCCTGCAGCCTTCTGGACTCAATATCGAGTTCAGTAACGTTATGGCTTGAACTCTCATATGTCCTTACCCCAAGCCCCACAAACCATGCCTTGTTATCACACACAGTCTGCTATTACACACCATCTATTGTTAACCAATAACAGTCCCCATTAACAGCTATTCACCCTTTTAGCCAGATCATTATCCACTCCTTTGTCAACAGTTCTTCTACCTCTTTGAGCTCTATCGCCACCTATCATTTACTCCTTGGCCCCTCCCCATGCCCTATCTTCTGCATATAAACCGACATTTTCCCACCTACCATCGGTTCAGAGGAAGGGTCACTCGAACCCAAAATGCTATCTCTGATTTCTCTCCACAGATGCTGCCAGACCTGCTGAGCTTTTTGAGCAATTTCTGTTTTCATTTCTTTTATGGAGAGATTTTCTTAGGAGAGGTTTAATAGTTTGGGCTTGCATTCATTGGAATTTAGAAAAATTAGAGAAGACTTTATTAAATTATACAGGATTCTTAGGAGGATTGACAGGGAAGATGTGGAGATGTTGTTTCCTCTTGTGGAAAGTCTAAGACCAAAGAGTATAATCTCAGAGTAAAGGATCATCCATTTAAGACAGAGATGGAGGAATTGCTTCTCTCAGAAGATAATGAATCTATGGAATTCTTCACTCAAGAGGCTGGGTTGTAGAGTATCTTGAAAACTGAGATAAATAGAGTTTTAATCAGTAAGTGAATCAATGGTTATGGGGAAAAGGTAGGAAAGTGGAGTTGAGGATTATCAGATCAGCCATAATCTCCAAAGCAGAATGATGGGCCAAATGGCCTACTTCTGCTCTAATGAATGTAGCATTGGAAGTGTAAACATACGTGCCCAGTACTGATTGTAATGAATATAATGTTTTCCAAAAATAAAAATGAAAGATGGTTTCATTGGGATGTTTCCTTACAACAAGGTATGTAGAACAATACAATCCTATAAGTGGCCTTTTGGAATGTTCATTGCTGTGTCTAAATGTTAATAAATTGTTATATAAGTGGAATGTATTCAGAGCAGTATAAAGATCAGATTATTGAAAGACATACTTTGCTGCAAATGTTTTCTTTTACTCCTATTATTTCTGAACTTCATTGCTGAGGAAGTGTCGTATCTGAACAGTGTAGTGGATCCAGATTTAGATAAATAGTCATAAGCACAGTTAGTTGCAAGTTTTACCTGGTCTCAACTGGAACTAGCCTAGTTATTAAATGGAACTTGACGCATTAACAGAGAGCAACGTCCAGAAAGTCTAGTTCAGCCTTACACCATCAGCCCTTTAGTGTACCAGCACTGACAGTAGCCAAGAAGCCATCCACAAATCAAAGGCTCCAGGTTTCTGGTTGAAGTTGGAAGCATTCCATTGGGAATATCTGGTGTCTTTTCTTCAAAATGGAATGTAGGTGTCACTGACAAGGCCAGCATTTGTTGCCCATCCCAAATTGCCCTTAACAAAGTGGTATGGCAGGCTATTTGAGGGCAGTTGATGCTGAGAGTCTGAAATCACATGTTGTTCAGACCAGGTAAGGACAATGGGTTTACATGTATCATATTTTAATAATATATAATGATAGTTGTCAGGGTCACTGATACTAGATTTCTATTGCAAACTTATTGATTGAATTTAAATTCCACCAGTTGCCATAATGGGATTTGAATCCATATGTCAATATGAGCATTAGCCTGGGTCTCTGGATTACTGGATTCATGTCCATTGACATTACCACTGGACCAGTATCTCCCCCACTAAAGTAGTAAGGGCATAAAAACTAACAACAAAGGGCACATTCCTAAATGCTATATTTCAAGTATAAATTATGTCACACAGACGAACAATGCTGTTGAGAAGAAATAGTAAGTAGTCAAACTATAAAACTAACAATTATGTTTTAAAGATAAGAGAAATAGGTACACTTAATTGAGACTCTACCTGAGCATGAAGAACTGCCTACTGTAAATTAATTCTAACATCAATCTGTTGAATGTGTACAGACATCCAGTGTGTAATTGTCGGGCTCCATAGCCTGTATAACAAGAACAGATAGGCGTAAACCACAACACAAACTCCCTCACTGTCTAGTGGGAAAGAACAATGTTCAATGTAGCATTTAGGCACACAGATAATGAAGGCTTATCTCAACTAATACGCTAGCAGGATAGCAACAATTGACTTCAACACCCACTATGAATTCCGTTACTGAATGTTAGGGGGTGTGTGCATCAACAAAACAAAACAAAACAAAGACTCTTGTGCAGGTGAACGTGAGTGCTTCTAGTCAAATTGTTTGGTTGATCTCAGCACTGAAGCACTATGACCAGGCTTGGTGTCCCTGAGCTGGGGACGGCGAAGAGATCAATTCAGATTTCCTCCCTTGGACAATATCCAATGACCTGTGATAATGGTTAGAGAGGATCGAGATGTCAAGTGAGTGTTAGGGTGAGACAAAGCAGGTGGGATTGTTTTATTTTGTTGCCTGGACCAAAATATCCAGATCATTTCTGGATCCCAACCCCAAAACACAGCTCAAGCATGGGACAGTATTGTGAATGGCTGGCCAAACACTGGCCAGTGTGCACATTCAATGCCCAGTTAAGGAGGTGAGTTTCCAAAGCTGGAGGACCAATAGGAGGCCCTCCATCAGACTTTCAAAAGAGTGGGGAAGGAAATTAAATATTTATTCCAATCAACTCAGTTTTGAAAACAACATTGTTGGAAGTTTGAAACACTATACAGTAATGCTGTACTTAATATACAATGCAAAGTGTAAAGCAAAGGGAGGATTTTAAGAGGGATAGTGCAAGTTAATCATTTGTGAAAGTTTGTCAAGCTTACCATATTGTCTCAATATGGGGACAGTCTTTTAAACTCTGTGTGAGCCTCTGTGCTCCCGCATCTGTGATTTTATTGAATTTAACACTACAGAAATGAAAGAAAGGGCTCTGTTAATATTACCATTTGGAAGCAAAGTCACCAGCACTGTAGCACCTTCTAATTCAAACAAGTAAAACCATTACACTTATATACGGGATCTCTAAAAATATATTTTACAATATATTTCACTGTTTTAAAACAAAATGTAATAAAATCAATCTCATATCTGCTCCTACATCTTACAGTCTTATTAATAGCAACATAGAGTATAAGAGCAGGGAGGTTAAAGAAATGCGGAAAAGGCAAGAAAGTAGAGTTGAAGTTTATCAGATCAGCCATAATCCCATCGAATGGCAGAGCAAATTAGATGGGCCGAATGCTACTTCTGCTGCCAGGTTTTATTGACTTAGGAACTTCAAATGGACACAATGAGGTAGAAATTCATTTAAGCTTGTTTTTCAATCCAAAACAGGCAGATGCAGTGCTATAAGCCTACACTACAAGCCAGATGGATGTTTTAACAATAGAGACCATCACATTTCCAGATACATTTCACTTGAGGCAGAGGATCAAATCTGGCTCATGGGCCTCGATTAATATTGCTGGTTAACCCCTGGAAGCTGAGGGTGACAACACAGATGGGTCAAGATCAGGTCAGCAGTGACCTGCTGGGAGGAACACGCTTTCCTGATCCCAGCTCCACTGGAGAGGGATGTGACAAAGACCTGCCTGGCCATTTCTTTGGCAGCCTCCAATAAGCATTCCCTTTTCTAACACTCCTCTCGAGTCACTGTAGAACTGGTAAACAAAGAGGATCTTCACCTGATTCACACATAGTCACACATTTAACAGAAGGCTTTGGAAACAGACCCAGAATGCTTCTTTGTGTGTTTATGTTGATCCTACACTGCTTCAAAAACAAGCTATTGGGGTGATCCAAAGCGACAAGGATCAAAATAATGGCAGACATGTCCTTTATCACAGTTCAGCTGCAATACTTTAATCTACAGAAATATCTATACATTGTGCAATTTGCACATATCAATTTCTATAATTTCAGCAAGGAAGGCTCAGTATAGGCAGAAACAAAGAGAGGTGCAAGTAATTAGCCCCAGCCCTGTTTTTACACAGTTATCACCAACTTGATACTTACTCTAAAACTTTTAGTGACTTCATTACTGGGAGTATTTCTGCTAATTTTTCTGCCCCTTTGTCACCAATGATATTGTCATAGAGACTGTAAAATAAAGTGAAATATGGTCAGACAAAGGGCAGATTGATAGTAAAAGAACTCCGCCAAATAGAAAGACTGAAATGATAAAAAAAATTGCAGGTTTACAAAGCAGACATTTTTTCATTTCAGGATGTTTACAAGTGAAATGTCAAAATCTATCCTCTAATTAACGGTAGATTAAGAAGCTTGATATCAGCAGCTCCAGATTTGTTTTAACATAAGGCAGATGTATGTTTGATCACATTGTGGCAGCTGTGCAGGGGTCTCTCGACATATCACCGTGGAACGGTGTAACACACTGGATTTCAACATTGAGTGTTTTTTAATGAATGAATGGATGTGTCAGAAAAATTTAGTCACTTTTGGAGGGGCATGGAAACAGGTCACCTGTCTGTCTATCTTCTCTGCTATATTTGAGAGATAGTTTAGGGGACTCTTGAAATTGGACAAGTTTGTGGGAAAATAATTAGGAAGGTTCGTCAATGTATTATCTATGTCTTTAAACTGACTGAAGTAAAGCAACTACATGGAACAATTAAAACTGACTTAAATTTTAACAATATTCTTGCCAATCTAAGTTAAAGAGATCCTTCCAGCATCTGGGACATGTTGGTGGAAACTTCTATGTTAATTTTAAAAGTTTAGTTAAAATTCCTGGAAAAGGTAGATGTTACTGCTGGAAAATCCAAAGAGTAAGTTTTACAGCTTACTTAATGAGGTCACATTTCTGGTGTGGGAGCTTCTTTGAGAAAGTCATTTTCCTAAACTGCCTCAAAACGTATTTATTTTAAAACCTACCTCAGTGTCTTTAAAAACTTCAGGCTGGGAAGTGATCTCGCCAGCTCCTGTGCTCCTCGGTCTGCTATCTGGTTACGTGACAATCTGAAAAGCAAAATAAAAATTACTTCAAAATAATTTGGACATTTCATATTACCATTTAAAGATGATAAGAAAGGACTGAACTAAGATAGCAATAAATTATGGTGTTGCAGTTTTCCGTACTGCAGTTGTAATTTTAGATTTCCCTGGACCTAATCCAGAAGCAAACTGCAAACAAGAAAAATGTGCTGCTCAATTTACATTTATAATCAACTACTGAATCAACTGTGACCTTAGTTAGTCACAGGGAATGGTCCCTTAAGTGTTATAACAAAGATTACCAAGTTTGCTAGGATTTTTCCTATGAGGTATGACCTCTCTTACTCCCTTCTTCCTCTCCACCTGCCATACTCCTGCTATTTAGTCACCTGAAAGGAGAGAAGGGCTGGCAAGAAAAGGAGGGAAGGAGAGAGTGAAAACAGGAAAGGGAAGATGGAGAAGGGAGGGTGTGGGAATAAATGATAGGAAAAGCAGATACGGGAAAGTTGAGGAGGGAAGGATGTGGAGGAGACAGAGAGTATAATGGAAAAAAGGGTAATTGTAGAAGGCTGAGGGAACAGTGACAGGGTGCAGGAGTTCAGTAGGAGGAGAGGTGGGTACACAGAGGGATGGGAGGGCAAAGACAGGGAAACTACTGTTTGTTCGAGACCAAAACCATGCAACCCTGGGACAAGTTTTACAGCGCAATGGACCAAGAATAAATTCAGAACTAGGTTATCTAATGAGTGGGGCAGGAGGGGGCCCAATTACCACTATGGATGTTCACAGAGACAGAGAGAGGAGGTTCTTTTGTACAAGCAAGTCATGGAGCCTCAGAATATATGATACTCCATTGAGAAAGGCCACCTTGTAGTCAGTACAGAGATAATGCTGAGCAACTGACCTTCAGTTGATTAAGGTTCAGACACAGCAGGAAAACCTTGGCTTTTAAAATGAGCATTGCACTTAGGCAGTAAAAAGTGCACCCAATCCAGAAATGAATTAATTTTTTTTAAAAAAACATTGGAATATTGTAATCACTCACTTGTGTGTACAATTTGAAATACAAGATACATTAACATATATTTCAAAATATTAAAGGGTAAATATTTTAACTCACGTCAGTTTTTCTAGTGATGTTAGATTAGACAACACCTTTGCCAATCTCTCAGCTCCTTCATCTCCAATTTTGTTTTCACTCATTTTAACTTTCTGCGAGCTTGGTCCTTCAAGACTGGAGGAAAGTAGCAGGAGATTTCAGTTGCAAGTGGACCGTTTCAGTAATAAAGTAGAACACTTGGCACAAGTTAAAAATTGTTACAAGTGGAATGGTTTATTTACTGGCAGTGTGGTGAAATCTAGCCTGTGAACATGCATTGCTCCACCAAGTGGAGGCTTCACGTCCTGCAATGTATTCCATATACAATATTACTATGGCTAATACTGCGCTGCAGATAGGAGGAAGATAGAGATGGCTAGACCTAATTGTGTAAAGTTAAATGATATCTTAACAACAGGGAAACTCAAGCTTGTAACAAGGAAAATCAAATGTCATAAGATGCTACATTCTATCCGCTTCCCTGTATGCCTCAGAAAGCTGGACAATAAGTAAAAGTCTAAGAAAGAAAATAGAGGCCTTTGAAATATGAGCACCAAGACATAGCTGAAAATTCCATACACAGACTAGAAGACAAGCGAAGAAGTGCTTGAAACTGCAAGAGTAAAAAATGGCCTAAGAAGTGACACTCAGGAAAGGAAGTGTCAATTTTTCACCGATTTAATCAAAGTTGATGAGTGACAGAGCTCTTTTCTAGAAGATAAAGTGGAGGGCAGTAGAAAGTGGGGTCAGCCTAGGTGTAGTTGGATGATGGATGTCACAGAACGCTTGTGGACAAGCTTCACTGGATGTGTGAGGATGGTGCAAAACAGCCAAGTATGATAGAGTCAGACAGCACGGAAACAGACCCTTCGGTTCAACCAGTCCACGCCGAACATAATCCCAAACCAAACTAGTCCAACCTGCCTACTCCTGGCCCATATCCCTCCAAACCTTTCCTAATCATGTACCTATTGAAATGTCTTTTAAACATTGTAATTGTACCCACATCCACCACTTCTTCAGGAAGTTCATTCAACATGCGAAGCACCATCTGAGTAAAAAATTCACCTCTCGTGTTTTTTAAATCTCTCTCCCCTCACCTTAAAAATGTGTCCCCTAGTCTTGAAATCCCCCATCCTAGGGAAAAGGACAACTATCATTAACTCTATCTATACCTCTCACTATTTTAGAAACCTCTATTAGGTCGCCTGTCAACCTCTTATGCTCTAATGATATATCATAATCTCCTACCATGGTAAGTGTGTGAGTCAAGCAGCACTGCATCTAAAATTTTGCCCTATAAAATAACAGCATTTACAAGGCAAACATCTGTGCAAAAGACTAGACTACAAAACAGCGAGCCATACAACCTGCACAAAATCAGAAAACAATTATTTTAGTCGTCCCTTAGTGACGGACAAACCCAATGTTAAATTGCTTAGATTTTAGATACAATGCATGGAGCAAACACATATCAGACAATTACATTGAAGTAAATACTTCTTCCAATAGAATGATGATATTCCATTGTCTCTATAAACACACCACATTGTAAATAATACAAGTACAGTTCAAAATATGGGTGCATTTTGAAACACATTGATGAAACCCACTTGCATGTTCCAATTCATTAGCCAAACACAATGGAATGATTGAGTTTACTGTGATAACACAGCTTTATTATTTATACAACATTAAACTGGTTTCTTGTTTCTGTTAAACTCAAAACATCAGATAAAGCTTTATCAAACTTTTCCAGTTTGATGAAGAATCACTTTATTTTTATGAAAATACTGGAAATGTCAAATTGAGAATTTCAAACTGAAAATACTAAAAATTTCAAATTTGAAATATTGCAAATGTCAAATTGAAAATTTCAAACAGAAAATAGTGGAAATCTCAAATTGAAGTACCAGAAATATCAAATTGGAAAATTCAAATTGCACAGTTGCTATTCATAGTTTATAATATCACTTCAAATAGAATGAGGTTAACTTAGAAAGTACACAAAGTAGACCACTGATAAATACTTCAAATTTTTACTCACTCTAGATACTTCAAAAATGCCAGAGCTGGTAGAATCTTAGTTAATTTTTGAAATCCCTGGGGTCCATCCACTGGGCCAAGACTGTAAGATTGAAATATCTATTTTAGTAAGCCGCTATGTTGTGACTCTCTGTAATAGTAAACAAAGATTTCGTCTAAAAAAAAATTTGTGGGGCAAATATCTAAGCAAAAGGCTAAATTACAAAACAGTGAGACATACTGATGGCACTGTAAGCAAAGTAAACACAGCAAAATGAATCATTGATAATGGTTGAAGGTGGCAAGGACATATTGATAAAGTTGTTAAAAATAAACAAGGGATGCTCACCTTTGTGATTAAGTAGAGAATATAAGATAAGGGTGCAATGCTGAACCTTTATAATTCAGGGGAATATTTGGAGATAGTTTTACTTACCAACACACTGGGAATGGGGAGGTCAATTCCTGACCCTAGGGATGTGGAACTAGGAACAATTAGAATAAAAACATAAATCTCCTACAGTTTGGAAGCAGGTTATTTGGCTCATCCAGTCTACACTGACCCTCTGAAGAGCATCCCAACCAGACCCACACCCCTGCCCCATCCCTGTAAACTTAGGCCACCTTGCCTGCACATCCCTGGACACTATGGGCAATTTAGCATGGCCAGTCCACCTAACCTGTACATCTCTGGACTGTGGGAGGAAACCAGAGCACCTGCAGGAAACCTACACAGACATGAGGAGAATGTGCAAACACCACACAGTCAGTCACCCAAGGCAGGAATTGAACCCAGGCCCTGGCACTGTGAGAGTGGGCTAAGTAAAAATATCTCCCAATATTTAGGGCGGCACAGTGGCTCAGTGGTTAGCACTGCTGCCTCACAGCGCCAGGGATGCGGGTTCAATTCAACCTTCAGGCAACTGTCTATGTGGAGTTTCCGCTGGGTGGTCCAGTTTCCTCCCACAGTTCAAAGATGTGCAGGTTAGGTGGATTGGCCATGCTAAATTGCCCAAGTGTTCAGGGATATAAAGGTTAGATACATTAAACATTGGAAATCTATGGTTACAGGGAAAGGGTAGGGAGATGGTCTGGGTGGGATGCTCTTCGGAGGGTCAGTGTGGACTTGTTGGGCCAGTTGGCCTGTTCCCACACTTTAGGGATTCTGTGTGAGGTAGCAGTGCTAACCACTAAGCCACTGTGGCATCACCAAAGTTCCAACACCAAAATGCAAACCAATCCCTAATCCTTTGACTGGGAGAATCCATTCAGAGGGATGGCGAAGATGGGAAAGAGGGTCTAATGTCAGGGCAGGGTGTTACTTTGGGAGGTTTGTATGGAAATTGGTCTGAGGGTGGGCAAGTTTGGGGCCTGGAGGAAGCTCACCTGCTCCTACTGGCCCACAAGCAGTGCTGTGGAGGCAATTTTCTTTCATATATTCATAGGTTATGGATGTTGCTGGCTCGGCCAGCATTTATTTCCCAAGACAACAAGGTGCAGGGCTGGATGAACACAGCAGGCCAAGCAGCATCATAGGAGCAGAAAGGCTGACGTTTCAGGCCTAGACCCTTCATCAGAAAAGGGGGAGGGGAAAGGGGTTCTGAAATAAATAGGGAGAGAGTGGGAGGTGGATAGAAGATAGATAGAGGAGAGGATAGGTGGAGAGGAAACAAACAGGTCGAAGAGGCGGGAATGGAGCCAGTAAAGGTGAGTGTAGGTGGGGAGTTAGGGAGGGGATAGGTCAGTCCAGGGAGGACGGACAAGTCAAGGGGGCGGGATGAGGTTAGTAGGTAGGAGATGGGGGTGTGGCTTGAGGTGGGAGGAGGGGATAGGTGGGAGGAAGAACAGGTTAGGGAGGCAGGGATGAGCTGGACTGGTTTTGGGATGCGCTAGGGGGAGGGAAGATTTTGAAGCTTGTGAAATCCACATTGATACCATTGGGCTGCAGGGTTCCCAAGCAGAATATGAGTTGCTGTTCCTGCAACCTTCGGGTGGCATCGTTGTGGCACTGCAGGAGGCCCAGGATGGACATGTCGTCTGAGGAATGGGAGGGGGAGTTGAAATGGTTCGCGACTGGGAGGTGCAGTTGTTTATTGCGAACCGAGTGCAGGTGTTCTGCAAAGCAGTCCCCGAGCCTCCGCTTGGTTTCCCCGATGTACAGGAGGCCACACCAGATACAGCGGATGCAGTATACCACATTGGCAGATGTGCAGGTGAACATCTGCTTGATGTGGAAAGTC